GTCCAACTTCATGCTGCCCCGTGCCCCGTGGAACTTCGCCGGCAGGCCTTCTTCAACGAGCTGGTTGAGCTTGACGACGAGCCCCCCACTCACTTCAGCATCCAGGGGGATTCTCCGCCCAAGCTCACCCAGATCGACATGGGGTTTCCTTGCGACGCCCAGCTGGCTCACCATCCAATGGCGCATCACGGGCACTACTCGCGACTTCCCTGAGCGCCTCCACGAGCAAGGCCTCAGCGATCACGCCCCGAACGCCATCGCGATTGCTGCCCGACTTCCGCTCCATGGCGATGCTCAACCCATCCCTTTGCACATCTTCAGGGACCCCGAGCCGAGTGCACCGCGCAGTGCGCGCTGCTGGCCAAGTACGTCAACTGGGACCCCGTCACCACCTGCCAGCGCAGGAGCGAACACAAGCGTCTCGTGACGGAGGCGGCTAGGCGCGTTCGCGACCGTCTCTTCAAGGCGCATTCCCACGAGTGCGACGTCAAGCTGCTTCTTTTCCGCTCCATCGCGAGGACCGTCTGGCATGGTGATGTCTTGCTGGCGGAGAGGCTCGCCGCCTCCCCTCAGCTCGCCGCCGCCCACCTGCTCATCGAGTACCGCAATGCGGGGCGCCGGGACATCGTCTCCCTGCGGGATGCGGCTGCGTTCGTGACCGACTTCGCTGCCGCGCAGCGTGCATGCGGTGATCGTCGTGAGGTTCAGCTTGGCCAGCGCGCCCATGCGCTTCCTCCTGATGGGAACTCATTTCGGCGCATCAACGCGACGCGTCGCCCCCCTGCGTCGCCGCGCGGCCTTGCGGTCTCCGTTCTCACGCGCTCTCAAGCTTCAAGGGCTTCGTCTCCCAGATGCTGATGGGGAGGATCGGGCGGTCAGCGCCCAGTCGGACAGTCTGCGCGAGCTCCGCTCCCACGTGGCCCCCGTCTTCCAGCGCCTGCACCGTGAGCGGCCTTTGCTTCTCGAGCGATACCTCAGTGAGCGCCCAGTTCCCATTGCTGGGCTCCAAGAGGCTCGTCTTCCTGATGTCTATGACTTCCATCGCGCTGCCGAGCGTGCGCGACCATCTGCGCCTGGTCCAGATGGCCCTCCATATGGCGCCTGGCGCAGGCGCGGCTGCTCGAGGCCGTTGGAGGACCTGGCTGCCGTGGGGGTTGAGATCGCCCAGGTCTTCCCGCCGCCGATGGCCCTCGACGACCGCCTCATGGCCTTCCTGCCGAAGGGCTCGGAGGAGGCGGACCTCGCCCTGGGCCCCACTCGAGCTCCTGCGACTACTCGGCCGCTGGCGCTCAAGAGCAGCGACGCGAAGCTGCTCGCCGCCAGCTGCAACGACCAGATCAAGTTCCCGATCGAGCGCTCCTCGCCGGCGGCGCAGCGAGGACTTCTCCCTGGCCGCAACTTCCTGGACATCACGGCGCCAGACACCTGCGCCCGCATCGTCGGCCTCTCCGAGCATGCAGTCGCCACGCAGCCGCTAATGGTCCTCTTCGACTTCGGGAACGCATTCCCGTCGCTCGCGGTCTCGTTCCTTCAGGCCCCCCCCCCCCTGCGCGCGGGCTTCGATGGGGGGGTCTTCCACCTCGTCGTGGGCATGCGCTGGCTGCCCGCTGCCCTCGTCGCCGTCGCGGGCGCCCTCGCCCACTGCATGCGCGTCTTCGCTGGCGTCGCCCAGGGGTGCCCGCTCAGCGGGTCGCTGTGGACCGTCGGCATGAACCCGTTCGTGCTGCGCATGTCCAGCATCAGCTCCTTTGCCTCATCGGCGCTCGGGGTCTGCGCGGGCGATGCGGGGGTCGTCGTGCAGGGCCGCCGCGTTCTGTTGCGGCCCTGGCGCGTCTTCAGAGCGGCCGAGGTCCTTGCGGGGCTCTGCCTGAAGCTCCGCAAGTGCAAGGTCACCCCCGTCAGCGGCGCCTTCAGCCTCGAGCTTGCTGATGCCGCTCGCCGCTGGCTTGCAGACGCGCTGCCTGCTTGGCGACCCATGGGCGTCGCGCCCTTCGCCGAGCACCTCGGCGCCGCCCTGGGCCCAGAAGCTACGCCAGGCATTCTGCGGCAGAAGCCTGGGCTAAATGGACCCACCGAGTCCGCGAACTTGCGCGCGCGGGGGGCCCGGCGCACATCTCCACCGTCATTTACAATTCGAGGGTGTTCTCGGTTTTGGGCTACATCATGCAGCTCGCGCCCGCGCCACCCTCGCTGCGCCGACAAGAGGCACGGGCGCGGCACAAAGTTTGGCACCTCCCGCCTCAGTCGCCCCCGAAGCGGGCCATCCTGGGCCTGGCCTCGTGGTTTGCGCTGCGCCCCACCAGCATGATGGTGCTCAGCATGGCGTCTCGCATGCGGGCGGCGAGTTCGACTCTCGCGACCGGGGGGCCGCTCCTGGCCAAGCTCAATGCGATGGCGGAGGAGCGCGGCACCATGGCTGTGATCGGGAGCGGGCGCCTCTCGCCGCTATTCTGGCGCTCGGCGCCGCCGGTCCAGCGCGTCGAGGCGGCCTCGCTCGGCCAGTTCGGCGCCCGCGAGCTCCCTGAGGCCGCCGCCTGCGCCCTCGCCGCCCTCGAAGACCAGTCTGGGCCAGAGCGGGCGCGTGTCCAGATGCTTCCCTCCCCCTCCCTTCGGTCGTCTCTCTTCCCAGATGTTTTGCAGGGCGCGATTTCGAAACGCCTCGCCTCCTGGAACGTTGCTTTTGACGTCCAGAATCGCCCCCCCCCCCCCCCCCCCTCAGGGGCCTCGCCAAGGATGGTGGCCCGCCCTCTTGGCAAAGCGCGGTTGTAACAACCGTGGGCGGGGGCAAGCTCACGAGTGCCCGTCTACGTAGCTCCGAGGTTCGAGGCTGTAGATTATTGCGTGATTGTTGCCGAGATGACATGTCGCACTGCGTCCGTTGTCCAGTTTAGTGGGGCCTTGTATACCACCCCGCCGAGCCCCCTGTGCGCATCTCCACTCGTCTTGGCCTCGCTGGGGCACCGGCCCCAGAAGAGGTGGGGCGGATCGTGCGCGCTTATCACATGTGCAATGTTGTGCGCACGGCTCCTGATCCTGGCCCCCTCGACTCAGAGGAGTACAGAGCCCGACATTTCTACGCCATCCGCAGGGCGACACAGGCCCTTGTTGACCACCTTCGAGCGCCCTTCTAGTCCTAGTTGGACGCTCTGACCTCGATGTCTAAGGCACGAGTGATATATGGGGCGGCTCCTCGTCGCCACGGCTGGGCCCGCCTTGACGCCGCCGGGACTCGTTGGATCCCCCTGGCCGGGGCGCGCCGCGGGACCGGCAGCCGGCGGCGTGTGGCTCAGATATCCCCGACGTCGCGATCCTGTTCACAACGTCGACCCCCGGAGGTTTGGACCCCAGACATGATCGCATCGTAGAATAATCACGACGGGAAGTTCTTGCAAGTTTTTGGCCTCGGAGGGGCCCTCGCCGGGCCTCGGGGCCTTCAAACAAAGATTATGAATGAAAAACGGGTCCCAGGGAAAGGGTCGGGGTTTCCAGGTGCCCGTATTGAAAAAATCAGGACGTCGCACGTCTGAGACCCTCCCCCCTGGACGGATCTTCATCCTGGGTCGTTCTGTGGCGGTTCCAGGGCCCGGATGGCCCCCGGACGCCGAGACTAGCCCAAAATTATCTCGTCGCGATTTCTTTTCAACGCGGGGGGAGAGAGCATGCTTCGCATGGATTGAATTTAGTGAAAACAAAGTGCATTGGATCCGCTAGCGAATCCATTCAGATTGATGACCCAGACATGAGACTTCCGGATTTTTTCAGGACGGCGTCCCTGGATGTCCCGACCCTTTCCCCAGGACCGGCTTTTCATCCTGAGTCACTTATGTTTTGACGGCCCCGAGGCCAGTGAGGGCCCCGAGAGGCCAAACATTGACAAAAACCTCCCGCCCGGACCATGTTTGGGGAATCGATGGTGCTTCTTTTGATTTTGAGCTGGCTGGCCAGGGCAAGGATTAAGTCGGCCCTGTCCCTCTACCGGAGGAATATTCCAGAATGGTCAGAAAATGGTTTGGGGACGATTTTATTGTTTTTTTGTTCCTTTAGCATGTGTTGCATATTTCGTCTGTATTTCTGTTCTTCTTCCAACCTCAGCCTCTCGGGGGGACGGGCCCGACCTGAGGCAAGGAGCGCACGGCAACGGGGGGTGCAGCCACCCCCCCGGCGTGCGTCCCCGCGGGGCGGCCCGGGCCCCCGGCGGCCCCGCGCGGGGATATCGGCGAGGTGGTCGGCTGGCGTCCCCCGGCCAGCATGGAGGTCTTCGAGGAGCCCCCAAAAAAGAAACAGACCCCCTCGCGTCGTGAAACAAACAAGAAATAACAGGACGGGAGGTTTTTCTTAGTTTTCGGCCTCTCGGGGCCCTCATCGGGCCCCGGGACCGTCAGAAAACGACCTGGGGAATTGGTCCATACTTCATGGGGCACGACGCCATACAAAAAGTCATGACTTCTGGGGCTGGGACACAGGAGGAGACAAAACACACAGACGCAAAAAGCATCGTCGATTCCCAGGAGGGGTATGGAAAAGATGGGAAGCGAAGGGGCTGACGAGCATCCAGAAGATACGGAAGCCATCGGGAATCCTGGGATTTGTATCTCTGTGTTTGTGTGTCCCTGCCAGGCCCCTTCAAGAAGTACACGGACAGAAACTTCGGGAGTTCCGCGCGGATTTCTTGGGTCGACGCTGAACCCCCCCTCTCTAGCGCACGGAGTGCGCCGGGGGCGGCGCCGGAGGCGCCGCCAAGGGGGATCGGCGCCGATGCAAGAATGGCGCGCGGAGCTCCAAAGGATTATGTTGTTCCCAGACATGCGACGCCCTGATTTTTTCAAGACGGGGTCCCTGGAAGTCCCGACCCTTTCCCCAGGACCCGTTTTTCATCCCGAGTCGTTTTTTGACGCTCCCGAGGCCCGGCGAGGGCCCCCCCCGAGGCCGAACATGGCCAAGAGCCTCCCGCCCTGATTTTTGTTTTGTCCAACGCGATCACGTCTGGGCTGTCTCTCCAGGTCCGCAGACCCGCGACCCCGGGAGCTCACGAGGTCGGGGGCGGCGACAGGGGGGGAGAGGCATGGGGGGGGGGGACGCATCGACCCCCAATCGCCCATTGATCGCAGGCAGGGGTCTGATAGCCCCAACCCGCCGAGGAAGGTGCGGATGCACTGTCGGGGGCCTGTCGCCGATGCATCGGCGATGTATCGCCGATTCTGGGTCGCTGCAGCCCCCCCCCTCTGTGCCCGCTCGCCGTTGCCCCTCACGAGGCACGTCCTGCGCGCGGGCTCCGCGGAGGCCGCCGCCGACTGGGCCCGCAGGATCAACGACGCCGCGCGCACGGGCGGGCGCCAGCGGGAGGCGTCGGGGGGCAGGCCCAGGCGGCTGCTGTGCGTGGTGAACCCGCGGGCCGGGAGGGGCCGCGGCGTGGAGCTCTTCCTCGGGGGCCGCTGCAGGGGGGCGCCGGCTGGCCAAGGGGTTGGGTCGGGCATGCGCCTCCACGGGAGGAGTATGCAGAAGTAGTCAACAAAATAATCCGGGGACGAGTTTTTCTTGTTGATATTTTTATGGTGATGATGATGATGGTGATGTTGATGATGATAATGATGATGATGATGATGATGATGATGATGATGATGATGATGACGATGATGGTGATGATGATGATGGTGATGGTGATGGTGATGGTGATGGTGGTGGTGGTAATGATGGTGATGGTGATGGTGATGGTGATGATGATGATGATGATGATGATGATGACGATGATGGTGATGATGATGATGGTGATGGTGATGGTGATGGTGATGGTGGTGGTGGTAATGATGGTGATGGTGATGGTGATGGTGATGATGATGATGATGATGATGATGATGACGATGATGGTGATGATGATGATGGTGATGGTGATGGTGATGGTGATGGTGGTGGTGGTAATGATGGTGATGGTGATGGTGATGGTGATGATGATGATGATGATGATGATGATGACGATGATGGTGATGATGATGATGGTGATGGTGATGGTGATGGTGATGGTGGTGGTGGTGGTGATGATGGATGTGTGTGGTGATGATGATGATGATGATGATGATGATGATGATGATGATGATGGTGATGATGATGATGATGATGGTGGTGGTGGTGATGACTAGTGTTATTCTTGAAGTTGTTGTTATTGAGATTGAGCCCCCCCCCGCCCACCCCCCCAGGGGCCCTCTGGTGAGAGTGCGGCTCCGGGGAGGTTAAGTGCAGCATCGGCGTTGGTATGTCCGTGGTCGAAAGAAGCTGGCTCAGCCTGGCCTGATCTCGCTTCTTTGCACTTAGCCCCGCTTCACCGGACGCAGTCCGACCTAACCCGGCGCACGTAGTCCTGGGCGCAATCCCGCGGAATGGCCCCTCAATCGGGTTCGATAGCCCTTATAATCGTCCTTACGAAGACTGCCCAGTACCCAGATTTTTTCACAACGTCGACCCGAGAGGTCTGGACCCCTTACCCGCGAGCGGTTTGTCATCCTCAGTCGATGTTTGATGGCCCCGAGGCCCGGTAAGGGCCCCCAGAGGCAGAAAATAGCGAAGGAAAACCTCCCACGTCCTGATTTTGTTTACAATGCGATGGGGGTCTGGGCAATTCGTTGCCCTCTCTCTGAGCCTCGCGAGGGACGCCCGCGGGCGCAAGACTGCCAGCCGGCGGCGGACACCCTCCACAAACTTTGATCGGCCTTCCCCTCTTCCTCCTCCGCCGCCTCCTCCTCCTCGCTCCTCCTCCTCCTCCTCCTCCTCCTCCTCCTCCTCCTCGCTCCTCTTTCTCCTCCTCCTCCTCCTGCTCCTCCTCCCCCTCTTCCTCCTCGCTGGCACGACGCTGTGCCTCCTCTTCCTCCTCGCTCCTCCTCATCCTCCTCCTGGTGCTCTATGGAGGCCGAGAGGGGGGGGCCCCTTTTGGCAAGCCGGGGGGGGGTCACCTCTGCGGCCATATGGGGCGCCTCTGCCGGCGCCCGAAGCTTCCGCTCGGAGGCGGCCCCGGTGCTGGAGGCCGCTGGGGTGCAGTTCACCCTGCAGGATCAGCGGCGAGCGACGGGAGGAAGTAAGAGCGAGCGAGGAAGTTTGAGGTTCGAGCTTCGAGGTTTTCGAATGTTTTCGTCGGTTCTCGCCAGTCTTCAGCCTCCGGATGCGTTCCAGCGACTGCGCCTCGGCGAGAGCGTTCCGGGCTTGCCAGGACCGTCCCGAACGGCCGCCAGAGACCCGAGCTCTGAGCCAAAAAACAATTTGGCGGCGCGCCCGGGGTGGCAAGTGAGAAGGAGAGGCCTCCTCAGAAGGTGGCGGGACTTCTCGGAAGCCCCTTCGCGCCTTCCGAGGAGGATGTTCTTTTTTGTTCTGTCGTCGGGGGAGGCTCAGAAGGCTTCCCAGACATGCGACGTCTTGATTTTTTCAAGACGGCGTCCCTGGAAGTCCCGACGCTTTCCCCGGGACCGGTTTTTCATGCCGAATCGTTCCTTGACGGTCCCGAGGCCCGGCGAGGGCCCCCCGAGGCAGAAAACTGGCAAAAACCTCCCGTCCTGATTTTTTCACGACGCGATCCTGTCTGGGAAAGTTTCCCAGAAGGCTCGGGGGGGACTTCCGAGCAATCTGAGGAGGCCCTCTCCTTCTCGCTGCCCCTCCTCGCTCGCCGCCGGCAGGAGACGCGCGCTGCGGGCGAGGCGACCACCATTGCACGGGAGGCGGACCTGGGCGAGGTCGACGGGATCGTCGTGTGTGGCGGGGACGGCACGTTCCACGAGGTCCTCGAAAAAGAAAGAAGAATAATAAGGATAATTAATAATAAGAATAATAACAAGAAGAAAAAGAATAATAAGACAAATAATAATGATACATATAATACCGTTAAAAATAATTCTAAGAAGAAGAAGAAGAGAAGTCGCCAGAAGCATGAATTTTGGGGCAAGTTGGGCAGGTCCCTCCACAGGAGGAGTAATTCAAAATAGTTCAGGATTCGTCTGGGGAGTTTATATATATGTATATATATGCATATATATATATATATATATAAGTGTGCTGTATATATATATATATCTATGTTGGAGGTATCCTTTGTTTGAAGTCCAAAATTCGCCTGTAGGAGGGCATGCCCCACCTAAACCTTGGGCGCTCCTCGCAGAGATATCTCGGAGATCTGCGCTGGCGCGGCGCCGCCCCCCTTGGCGCGCTCCTCTTCGCGCGCCAGGGGAGAGGGGGGGGGGCCCGCGCAGAGCCGAGAGAAACATCCGCGCGGACCTCCCGCAGTTCGGAGCGTGAATTACCTACCCCGCTTTCGCTTCCAGGCAAAACCAAGTCATACCACGCGCCTCCTCGTCAAGCGGCCTGACCAGTACAGGCCGTAGTTTGGCATCGTGTGGTATCTCTTGGAAGCGAGGGTGGTCAAAAGCGAGGTAGGTTTGTTTTCCCCTTAACAGTTCACGCATGCTTGTGCTAGGTCGGGCCTGTCCCTCCACACGGGGGGGAATATCCAAAGCATGGTCCAGAAAGAGTCTCGGGACGATGTGTTTTGACTATTTCTGTGGACCATTCTGGAGCAGTTTTGGTGTGTGTGTGTGTGTTTCTTTTTTTTTCTTCCGTTTTTCGTCCAAACTCTCTCTGGAGGGGAACAGGCCCGACCTAATGCTTGTGCCGTTGTTGCTTTGTCCTTCCTCCAGAGGTCGTGTCTGGGCTGGTCGCCCGCCCAGACGCGAAGGACGTGTGCTCCAGGCTTCGGGTGGATCCAAAAGGGGGTCCAGCGACAAGGGGGTGGTGTAATGAATTTGTGGGGTTGGGGCGTGCAATACATTCCGCGGCGCAAATGTATTGCTGGGCTTTCGCGTGCAATACGTTAGTTGCAATACAATGCAGTACAACTCTCTGGCGCAGAGCATTTGCAATACAGTTGCCCCAAATCTATTGCACCACCCCCTTTCAGCTGGACTCCCTTTTGGGCCAACCGACAGGCTGCCCCTATCACACGTCCCAGCCGGCTCTGGGAACGCCATCGCCTTCAACGTCGCGGCGGCCTGCGACGAGTCGGCGTGCGCCTCGTCGGCCGCCTACATCGCCGTGAAGGGGAGCCCGAAGCCGATGGATGCCGGCTGCGCCTGGGACCGCCGCGGCGTGCCACAGCCGCTGGTCCTCATGGTCGAATGGGCGCTCATCGCAGACATCGACTTCGAGTCGGAGTGGATGCGGGGCTGCTGCGGGGGCCTCCGCTTCCAGCTCGAGGCCGTGAAGCAGATCATCTGCCTCCGCCGCTACGGCGCGCAGCTGGACTACCTGCCGGAGGACGCCGAGCGCGATGCAGGCTTCGCGAGGAGCGCGCCCGACGAGTTCTTCGGGATCTTCGCCCCGACGAGCGCCGACGTGGCTGGGCCGCCCCGCTCCTCGCTGCTTCCTCCAGCCTCCGCCTTCGCCGAGGCGCCGCCAGAGGGCTGGTCGCGCTTGGAAGGCAACTTCAACCTGTGCGTGGGCATGCTGGCAACGTGGATTGACGCCGGCAGCACCCCCATGGCCCCGGACCACCGGATGGGCGGCGGCGCGATGACGCTGATACACTCGCTCGAGCTCTCGCGTTGGGAGGTGATGTCAGGATTCCTTGCCATCGACAATGCCAGGCACTTGGAGGACGGGCGTGTCAGGGCGTCGCGCGTCAGGGCGCTCAGGCTGAAGCCAGATGCTGCCGCTCCAGCGGCTATCGGAGTCGATGGAGAGATGGTCACACCAGCTGGCGAGGATCGACTGCTGGAGGTGGTGGTCTACCCGGCAGTGCTGCGGCTGTGCCTGCTCTGAGAGTTTCAGAGCAGGGCCCAACCGAGCGTTGAGATCGCGCGCTGCACTTCACATTGAGGCACGCTCGCCAGCTGATGGGGGCTGTCGAAGCTCTCATTGTCGGCGGGGGTCACGTACACAGTGAGCGACTACCTGGCAATCTTCCCCGTCTGTGCTCAGGACCCCCGCTCATCCTGCAGCGTGGCCAGTGTTCTGGCACGCGCTGGCCGTGTCTTTCGGCCCCACTTCGTTCTCTCAAGACCGTAGCCGCGACCACGACGACGACGCCGACGACGCCGACGACGCGCCGACGCCGACGACGGCGCCGAGTTCCGGGGCCGCTCCCAGGGTCCCGCCTGGCCAGTTTTTCCAGCTGCGTCCGCACCAGGGGCGGGCGGGAGCCCAGCCGGCCAGCGGTTTGAGAAGCTCCATATAGTCAGGAGGGGAAAAACCACAGACACAATTCATCGTCGATTCCCCAGAAATGGGAAAAGATGGGAAGTGGGGGGAAGACAAAAACCCAGAAAATATACGAAAATATTGGGAATCCTGTTATTTGTGTGTGTGTGTGTGTATTTGTTTGTGTGTCCTTGGGCCCCTTCGTATGGGTGGATGCGTTTCTGACCTCTGGCGGCTGTCTTCCCGGTCCCAGACTTCCTTCTTGGCCATGTTCGGCAGCTGCTCCGCGGGCCTGGCGGGCCCTCGCCAGGCCCTGGGGCCGTCGCACATCTCGGGCGGGTGCGAACGGGGGGTGGCCCAAAAGGGGGGGGGGAGGGGGGGGCAAAAAGGGCCCTTCCGGGCCCCTTTGGGAGCCAGCACGTGCCTAGAAGAGGCCCTATAGAGGGCTCCTTTAGGGCCCTCTCGTCCTCCCCCCCCCCAATTATGGGTCGCCCCCCATTTTAGCACCTGCCCGAGCATCGACTCGGGATCAAGACCCGCGTCCCGGGGAAGGGGTCGAGGCCTGCAGGGGTCCGCGTCGCGGGAACATCGCGACGCCGCGGTGGCCTGGGCCCGGGCTCCCGGACAAGCAGCCAAGAGTTAGACGCGAGTCGACCCCTGGAGGGGGCAGAGGTCTTGGAACCCCGCGCGCTGGGAAC